AATATGTATTTTCAAAGGTTCCCCGCCAGTCCGAAAATCGGCTCAACTATGTAATATGAGGCAGAAAGTAGTTTTATTAGACGAAAAATAATAGTCAAGCCATGCCGTCGGTACTTTCCTCCAGACCATCGCAGCTTTAGCGTGCATACCGAAAGATAAGCGTTTGCGCTTTCCTGCCCTCCAGATGCCACACTCAGGTTACATAGACATACACCTGGAGGCGGGAACTGCACGAGCCAATGAACGAAAAGTGGCGCTGCAGCGTGGAAATCTCTATTGTAAAGCAATTGACTATCTGCGGTGTCCGGTACTCCAGCCCCTCGCCATGGCTGCAAACCACAGGGTCGTATTTCGTAGTTCCTTCGGCCCCAGCGCAGAGGTCCCGAATCCATCCTTGGCCAACCCCTTCTCGGTCCTCAAAACCCCCTTTGCTCGGCTAAAACTCTATTTGTGGATCTCGCCGAGAAGCTAACGAGGATAAACTGCAAGCGAGAAGGTTAATAACGGTTTTGCGAACAATGGCCAAGACCGGCCACCGAAGGCCAAGGCCAACGGCCCAAGAGTGTCAAAAGATAGATCTCGCGAAAACCAACCGACTGCCTCACCAGCCAAACTGCGCCCCACGGGTCCCCTAGCCGTTGGGCCCGGAAACGTCGCAGTGGCTGCGAATCTAAATTGCCGGTTGCAACGGCGACATACCGGCTCCGTTGTCGACAAGGCACAAAACGCCACATTGTGTTCAAAACAGCTGCGCACGCTGGTGGCTCGGGCACAAGTTCCGTTGTTTTCTTTGCTGTACCTCAAAACCGTATGTCGGGGTTCCACTGGGCCGGACGTAACTAACGCTTTCTCGGTGCTCGCTCCGTGACGTCAGGCCGAACAGGCTTGACCCACCCTCGAGGCAGATCCTCCAGACCGCAAGCTAACCCGCCGTTTAGAAAATATTTCTGCCCGGGCGGCACCGAAATTTGATGGCAACTCGCCCGGTTGCTACATAATTGCAAGGCCCAATTGTGAGACATGTCCACAAAGGACTGCTGCCAGTCGCAGATTGTCCAGCATGGAGGGTTCGTTCACCGGCACCCTTCGGCACGTACGACACAATCAGGCCAGACCGGACGGACGTGAATGTCCGGTTTTGGCGCCAATTTGCAAAAGCTACTTCGAAAACCTATTCCTCTGTTCCTCGTAGACACCCTGAAATTGCGTTCCTCGGGCCATTGCGAATTCTAGAGGCCCCGAGCGCCCCGCATAGCTGCAATCCTGTTCCTGCCCACTTCGCTGCCTCCAGCAGCAAATCGCCAACCCCACAGTCCCGCAGTTGTTCCTCGGCCTCGCGAAATATTATAAAGACTCGCCCTGCCTCCCTAATTTTCTCATCATCAGCACTACCATGGGCAAACACCACGACGACTTAGAAATCATCAAGTTCATTATCAACTTCGAGGACGGCTCGCTGCGCGATGTGCCTGTCTCCGACGTGGACGAGGTTATCGTGTCCATCCCCGAGGGCACCGTCTACCAGATGACAATTGTGTTCCAGGTGTCCAACAGAACGTTGAAGAACTTGAAGTACAAGCAGGTTGTGAGAAAGGGCGGCATCCCGCTCAAGACCAAGGAGCTCTACATTGGCGATGAGTTCGCGCCCAGCGAAGAGTACCACACCAAGCAGTTTGAGAAGGACACCACCCCTGCTGGCTTCCTCTACAGAGGTACCTTCCCTTCGACGTCGACCTACTTTGCCGGCGACGAGGAGCTCTTCACCTCTGACTGGACTTTGGAGGTGACCAAGAAGGCCTGAGCCCGGTGCTGGCATAGATTGAGTAGAAATAAAATGAGACGATTTTGCAGCCATCCATTGTTGGCGCCAAGCCGTAGTCCTTGACACCGAACCCATTGTCTTCGGTGTGTTGTGGTGGCATTATTCGAATTTCCTCGGGTAACTCAATGCTGGACAAAGTCAATTGTTTTTTGCCGAGACGAAGTTATTGGAAAATTGTAAAAGTGCTGTTTAAGCTGCCTCCTCGGGCGAGGGCTTAGGATGTGGGTTAGGAGTTGACGCAGAAACGAATGTCCCTGAGGCTTGAGTAGAAGCGAGAATTGAGCAAAGAGAAATGACGAATTTTGCTTTGGTTGTTGAAAATAATAGTGTAGAGCAGTGGAGTCTTGGTCAGAGTCGTTGAGTGATACCCTCGACTACCATGGTATGTTGAGGATTATCAGGGGGTGGATCTGAAAAGCCCGTTCGGCTGTATTTGAAGATCGTGCTGCATTGAGAAGTCTCAGAGTGTCTACGGTTGGATCGTTGGTTATGCGGAGACCAACACCAACTTGCAGCTACATGCTTGGACTCAACAGTGTAACACAGTGCGACAGAATGCTAATAAAGGAGATCTTCGATGGCGGCAATGTTTGTCAATTTCATTACTTTAACGAGTTTCGTTATTATGATGAATCCTGCTGTATTGATTAGTTCATCATGTTCACTCCTGGATGAGCCCATAACCATACACGACAACTGCAATGGGGAAATCATCCGACTATCATAGTTCGAGATAATCTGCTATCTACTGAACAATGTGTCACACTCGTGAATGATGTATGTTCTTCCCTAGGCCCATTGACTCACCGCAATGCATCCAAACGTACAATAGAAATGTGTGGTATACTACCCAGATTAGTGGTTGCAAACTCCTTATCGGAGGCCGCACTAGATTGGCTGCAAACGACCAAAAACCAAAGAAGTCCTTTAACTTTCAATGCCGTTGCACTCGCACTTTCAACGTCATATTGTTTCATTCACCTACTTTAACCTCACTTCAGATCCCTTTTGCTAAAAAATTCAAAAGGCGCTGGGCATTTGGTCTACCCCGGAATTCGATATACTGCGCGCACTTGCCTCACTCTAACTCCAACTCCTTACTACTCTCCTTCTCCACGTTTTCCAGCAATCGCTATACTCAGCTCCAAATCGAATCATTGATAACCTTATCCTCCTAAAAAACTAAAGCCTTAAAGAATACATGTCCGTCAGACCTGCCACTCACGCTGGATCGTGGTACAGTGGCGACGGAACACGACTCAGGAGCCAGATCGCCAAGTACTTCGCCGCTGCAGCGACCGTGACCTCTCCTATTCCTGGGGCTAGGATCCTTGTTGGTCCACATGCTGGATACGCTTATCTGGGCCCTAGACTCGCAGAGACCTTCGCTGCGTGGGATACTCTGAAAGTCCGCAGGGTCTTCGTGCTCGGACCATCACACCACGTTTACTTCCGCCAAAGAGCACTAGTGCTGGCGTACGCCGCTTACGATACTCCTGTGGGCCAATTGCCCGTTGATACCGAGGTTTGCGCCAAGTTGTGTGCTGGTCTGCTGGCGCCATTTGGGTATATGCTGGAGGCCGTGGACGATGATGAGCACTCATTTGAGATGCATGCACCCTTCATAGCCCAGAGGGCCCAGGAGGCCGGTGTAGAGGTGAAGATTGTGCCCATTATGATTAGCGGACTTTCGCCAGAATTGCGAGAAAAGGTCGTGGCGGCGTTGGCGCCCTACATGGAGCAGGAGGAGAACACCTTTGTCGTGCTGTCTGACTTTTGCCATTGGGGACGCCGTTTTGGGTACACAGAATACGTTCCAGGGCAGGATTTAGCCCAATGTGCTGAGTACCTGGCACGTCGTCAGGGATCTAACGAGATCTGGCAAAGTATTGAATTTTTGGACCGCCTGGCCATGGAGATTGCTCTGGGTGGAAAAACCAAATTGTGGGATGAGTACATCGAGGAGACAGGAAACACCATCTGTGGTCAGAAGCCGTTGGGCATTGTCTTGCGGTTGTTAGAGAAGGGTGGCACCGGTGGTGGGGGCTTTAAGTGGTTGGGCTACTCACAGAGCTCACAGGTTACAGACCCACATGATTCTTCCGTGCTGTATGCATCAGGGTATGCTGTCGTTGGGTAGACTCAGTTCGCTTCACTCTGTGGTTTGCAACTACATCGGAGTGCAGTCTATCTTATCGCGATGGTGCAGAAGCGAGCCTGCAGCAGACTGGATCTGCTTTAGAGGTGGCAGATAGCTATGCCTTCATTCGCTTTGGAAGCAGGCGCAATTGATATATTGATGGATGAGACTCGATTGACTTTGGAAACTCGAGAGCAGTTCTTTCAAACTTCGGTGCAACATGATGGCCATCATACCTCTTCAATGACATTATTTTTTTAATTCAATCCTCTTAAGGCTATTGTCATGTTGGATTTATCACTGCTTGATTTATGAGGCAATCATTTGCTATACTCAGCTCTTGTTGCCGGATAGACAATGTGTTGCAGCTGTACTACTTGTGACTAACAAGTCAGACAGCAGCACCATTCAATCGCTGTATAACGTCGAATTATTCATATCAGAATGTCAGTAGGAATTGAATCCTTTTTTCCATCGCTAGTGTCTCATCGGCGAGTGTCTCATCGACGACTGTTTCATCCGTTACACACGCTCTTCAATAACGAAATATGGACCAGATACAGTTTCATTATGACATACAACAAGCTCATCGGTTATTAAGCCGAGAATCAAACAAATTGTATAGTACCCGTTCCTCTTACCGAAACCCTCAAATTGGCTGCAAACTTCAGTGCAGAGCCAACATGCCAGGTTGATACAAAGTCAAGCAGGATGTAGCTGCTCAAAGCCTAGCAGCCATCTGAAAGAAGATGCAAATTGAGGAACTGTAAATTTTCAAAATGAGTCTAAAGTACACCCTGGCCCACTAGATCATGAGCCGGCAACTCCGGTTGGCTGCAAAAAGTGAGACACCAGCATTCTGGTATTCACAGTACTCCAAAAAACTTCTTTTCTATTTAAGCACGTGTTATACTACCTAAAAGAACATCCCAAAACATCGGTTATTGTCAGAATCATCTCGTCTATGGTGTCCCATTGAGCCCAGCTTATCTACATATGGGACGCGCGAGCCCGATTTGAAAAACACCTAGATCAGCCATGAGCGATGCCAAACTCTTCGGTAAGTGCAAGTCCCAGGAGCTTCGGGCTGAGCTAGAGCAGGCCAAAAAGAAACTGAAGCCGCAAGCAAAAGTCAAACTTGTGCTCAAAAAGGCCATTTCCAACATCATCCTCCATAACAACGAACTAGCCCACTTGCTTGAGGATGTCTCGGCACTTATGACCATCGACGACTTTGAGGTCCGCTCGTTGTGTTCCCAATTCATTGCTCACTATGCTCCATTGGATCCCAACAGGGCTCAGACTGCTTTGAAGTTCTATGAACGATTTGGAGATGACCAGAGTGCCAACATCCGTGCATTAGCTGTCAAGACAGTTGCCCTGGTGAATGTTCCAGAATGGATCCAGCTCGGCTTACCAATGTCAAAGCGTCTATTGCTTGATACGACGCCACATGTTCGTACCTCGGCAGCATTTGCGGTGGCCAGGTTATACCAGCACGATGAAGAGCGAACCACAAAATACGGGCTTATTGACGACTTGAACGAGCTCTTATACGACGAGAATCAGGTCGTTGTGGCCAATGCTCTAGCAGCTTTGAGCTCAATAACAGAGTCTAACAAATCGCTTCAGTTGACGATAGACAAGAACCACTCTGTCGCTTTGGTCGATGGCATCAGCTCAGCCAACGAATGGCGAACAGTATACCTCCTTGATGCATTAATGTCTTTCGTGCCGCAGGATTCCAAAGATGCTTTGTCTCTTATAGAGGTGGTACTTTCATGCTTGGTTCACTCCAACTCTGCAGTGGTGCTCAATGCGGTCAAGGTGATCGTGTACCTCAGTAACTACGTCGAAGGTCCAGAGGTTGTGATTCCAGGATTGGCCAAGCGTATTGGCTCATCACTCGTCTCGTTGCTCTCGAAACCACCCGAGATCCAATTTTTGGTCCTCCGTAATGTGATTCTCCTCCTTCTCGGCAAACGTTACCTCCTCGACGTTGAGGTGGAACAATTTTTTTGGAAATATGACGATCCCATCTATGTCAGAGACACAAAGCTTGAGATAATCTATCTTCTAGCGGACGAATACAATGTCGGAGTCGTATTCCGTGAACTTGAGGAGTATGCGACAGAAATCGATGCTAATATGTCAAGAAAGGCTATTAGAGCGTTCGGCAATCTTGCAATCAAGCTTGAAGTCACAGCTCAACAAAGCGTGGACACACTCATCGACTTGTTATCAGATAATGTGCCTCACATTGTCCAAGAATGCATAGTTGTTTTAAAGAACGTCCTTCGAAAATATCCTGGACGATTCGACTATGCTATCGGTCCAGCTGTCCGCAACTATGAGATAATCGAGGAAAGAGATGCCAAGGCTTCGATTTGTTGGATCGTTGGTCAGTACTCAGAGCAAATTCCTGACGCTCAAAAGATTATCACTTCATTTGTTCTGTCCTTCAACGACAGCCCTTTGGAAGTACAATATGTTATTTTGACAGCTGTGGTGAAGTACTACGTGAAGTTCCCGGTACAGGGAGAAGGGCCGCTTCTCAAAGTTTTGAAAAAGGCTACTGAGGTTTCCGACAATCCAGATGTTCGAGACCGTGGCTTCTTCTACTGGAGAATGATAACCAATCCTGAAAATGCGGGCACAGATGGTGACTTCCAGAAAAAGACAAAAGAAATCGTCATTGACCCCGAGCCATTAATCAGCTCGGAGAATGAAAACATTGACCCAACAATTCTTGAAGAATTGGAGCTCAATATCGGTACACTTGTGTCCGTCTACCTCAAATCTGTCGAGCATGTATTCAGACTAGCTAAAAGAAAGCTGCTTCCTTACTCTTTAGCTTTGCAACCTCGTCGAAAAAACGAAACACCCAGGCCGTCATCAAGGCCATCTATCCGCCAACACCATCTGCAATCAAGTGTTCCACGTGAACATAGCAGTAAACCATTACCCCCAGTACAGAGAAAAGCAAGTGCTGGTAGCAGTGTGACGAGTTCGCATGGCCCTAGCAGAGGCAATTCCGTCACGGACAATGAAAAAATGTCTCTCGGGAAGAGACTAGGAAGAAGGGCGACTCGACTTGTCAAAAAATCTTGAGTCTAGTCTTTCTCCTCCTTCTTAACAATTGCATCCAATTTCCGTCTAGCCTTTCTGATGTCTGTGATCTCAACATCAGGAGCAAATTTAACATGTTGGGCGGTACCCACAATAGTCTCCGTGTCAATCTTTGGCATATTTGGCTCCGGGCCATCAGACACTTGACCCTTGAGAGTCTCTAAGTCATATCCAATGAGTGCACCAAGGATAATAATTGCAGCAGGTTTCGACATGACAAGCATATTTTCCTTGCAAAATGCTCCCGTCACACATAACGGGCAACCCCAATCGCATTCACATCCGTTTACACGTTGGTAGGTGACTTGAATGATCTCGTCAATGAATTCGAAGGTTTTAGCTGATATGCCAGTTCCTTGTGATCCACCTTTTGAGTCATGAAAAATGAGTCTTGCAGGGCGCTTTCTCCGAGACTGCCTTGAAGCAATTTCTTTTTCTGGAGCTTTGCACTCAGTGGATAATTCGGCATCTCCAATAGACGATGTCCATCGAGCATTTGGATTAGTTGTAGCTCCACCGGTAATAAATAAAGGAAGTATATTCATGATTGCGTGCTGTGCAGCATGGATTCCGCCAGCTGGGTTAAGCGATTTCTCCTTTATGGCCTCAATTGCTGCTTGGGGTATATCAATCCAGAGGCCACGGGATTGTAGTTTAATTGGAGGGTTTTTGACCTCAACGACATCGAGGATTTCGCCCTTTCTGTCGACTTTAAAATATCCAAATACAATGACAGTAGTCTCAATCTTGCCAAAAAATACAGGGATGTCCGACGCCTCTTCCATTGTTGGGGGATGAAGTTTCTTGACCATCTGTATTTCCATAGGATCGACATCAGAAAAGTCTCGCTGTTGAGTATTCCATGTCACTTTTACCCTCTCAACCTTAGCATATTGTCCCTCAAAATTGAACTCTTTAACCAAGTACGGAAACCCTTGGTGAAGGAAAATGCCACCCTCATAAAGCGTGAAACTCGTTCTCACGGCTTCCACCTCCTCAATGACAACATTTCTGTTATTGGTGATGTCAACCACTGCAAACATGATATCATCTATTGCTCGAAGACTTACCTTCTCGGCAGGCCACGGTAAGTAACGGGGATCAGTTCGGTAGTACCCCGTATCATCTTTATTGAGCTTATCTTGACATAGCTGCCGGAAGGTTTCATTCATCTTTTCTGAACTATGGGGTGAAAACCATCGCAAATCTTTCTCTAGATGTATTGGCCATTCGAACGCAGCACATTGCAAATGCATAGACATCACAACTCTGTTCAGACTTCCATCTAGGATTCCCTCGACACAGAGATCCTCATAAGTGTTTTTGTCTAATACTTCGTGAGGGTTCTTGAGGTAGAATCTATCGAGGGGGTTGGATCCGCAGACGAGAATAGCCAAGCTTCCCTTCGAATTTCTGCTTCTACCAGCACGACCAAATTGCTGATGCAAGTTGGATTTCAGACCAGGAAACCCACAACTTATCACAACATCCAAATCTGAAAGATCGATACCGAGCTCCAATGCATTTGTTGCAACGATGGCTCGGAGCTTACCGCTGAACATTTTTTGTTCAATAGCACGTCTATCTGTTTTAGAGTACCCGCCTCTATAAGACATGATATCGTGCTCGCTTATCGTACTCCACTGTGGAAATTCGTTAGATTTGATGAGTGTTCTGCACTCTTTGATAACCAACTCGCAGACTTCTCTTATGGGGCAGAACAAAATGACTTTGATGGAGGGAAGCATGCAAAGAAGATGAACGAGAATTTTAGCCAGCTCACCGACCACATGTTCCCTTGGGAGAAAAGCTGATTTTATGGGAACTTGAGCTTTGGTTGCCAGTTTGAGTTTTGACTGTGGGATCTCTCGTTGCCCTTTTTTGTTCATCATTATCGGGGGCTCCCATAGGACAAGCTTCTTCTCAGAACTAGGACTTCCATCCTCATGAACATGAGCGATTTCTTCATCGTCTGGAATTGCGCAAATGGTTCTGAAATGTGATTCTGGATCCTTTATGGTGGCAGAACAAGAAATATACCTTGTATGGCTGTGTTGATCAAGCTGAGCTTTCAAACGATTGAGACGAGCCATAACATACGAAACATGGACACCGAAAGTTCCCTTATAAACATGGAGCTCGTCGATAACCACGTACTTAAGGTTTGTGAGGAACTCCGTCCATCCACGCCTTTCATCTGGAGCTTCAATCGCATGGTTTGGTAAGATAGCTGCATGAATTGCATCGGGATTCGTGAAAATAATGTCTGCATAATTCCTGATAAATGGTCTATCCTTGGATGGAGTATCACCATCGTATGTATCGACCGTTATTTTGCGATTCTTTTGAGGCAAGTGGGAAATGAGCTCTGTCAAGTGTCGTTTTTGATCCTGTGCCAAAGCTTTTGTTGGAAAGATAAACATTGCAGTCGTGCTTCGCCTATGGCTATTTAAACCACTATCGCAATCATCAAGAATATCACTCAACACTGGCAATTGATAAATAAGAGACTTGCCTGAACTTGTTGATGTACTCACAATGACGTGCTTCTGCTCTGATAGAACAGCCGATAACGCTAGTGTCTGATGCGTGTAAAGTCCACCTTCTATAGCATCAATTCCCTTGTAGTCCCAGAGCGCATCTACCAAATTACCATGGAGTAGTTCTGGATCGAGGCTTTTGTATCTTGCTTCCCGTTCGGCTGTAAGAGTGGCCACAGTGGAAATTTGATCTCTGAATAGAGGTTTCACCTTTAAGGTTTCTAGCATCGTATCGACATCCGGTTTCTCGCTGGACACTGAATCAGTATTCCTGACTGTCATGACCTCAACAGGATCGCTTAGATGTGAAGGCTCTGGGATGTTTTTGACGTTTCTCTCTATGAGTACTTTGAATGGCACACCCTCTTCGAACTCCTCTTGGGTGAACCCTTCTAAGAACTCATCAATGCAAGCTGAAAAGAACTCATTTCTCCCAGCAATAATTGCTCTAAGCTGCTCTTGTGAAAGCAGATCCATGCTCAACTCGTTTGTACTGGTGAAAAATTTGGGTGGCAGTGGCGATTTCTTTGCCTTCTTCCACTTATCTTTACCCTTTATTACAGCACCAATTCCTCTGACCTTCACGTCACAAAACTCAAAAACAAGAAGCTGCTTTTCGGGCTTGTTAGCATTCTGTCGGCTCACGGCCTCATACGCGTCATCTATGGATCTTGGTTGATTTTGATTAAGACCGCCTTTGGTACGCTTAAAATCTACTCTCTCTCCGATAAGTAGTTGATTTTCGTCGATGTAATCGAACGTTACCTCTCCTTCTGGTAGAAGGTCTTTTATTATCTGGAGATCAATCCTGGAGATATCGTCATTGAGCTTCTGGATATGGTCGAATGTTGGGATAGTCTGACGCGAGAAGGATGCCAAAAACGTTAGATGGGTATTTATGAGTGCAAACTTTTTATATAGCGAGGTAAATGGCTCGGGCCATTGCATGGAAGCTGAAAAGGGTGGAGTATTGCAAAAGAGGGAGGGTTCTTGATATGTGAGAGATGCAGGAGCCGGTTTTGCAGCCAAAGCACAAGACTTTCTAAAATCAACCATTTTATTTAACTATACTTAAGCATCACAGCAGCCACCATCAACGTAGTTTCTAATGAAAGTGGAGGGGTCTTTACAAATTGCGTTGGAGCATTCGTACCTTCCGTTGTAATCCTGGAGAGCTGCAGTGCAGCAATCGTAGAAACCCCTAGTACAGTTATGTGACTCACCTATCCAGCAGGTATGAGGCAGGCAGATTCCTGATTCTGCGTTTCCTAATTCCTTGTTCTTGCACTGTTTTTCAAAAATCGAGAACGAAGCCTTGCCAGCTTGTACCAGATCTACACTGGCTGTAGGAACCCCACGATCAATTGAAAATAAGCGATTTCCCGAAAACAAGTCATAGACAAAATGTTTTTGCTCTTCAGGAAAGTAAATAACAGCACGGTGGCCGTCAAAGTCCTCGTTGCCCACTGTTGAGTTGACATATGAAAGACCATAAGCACCGGAGTTGTACACCATATGGCCTTGAGACACAGCAGACTTCTGAACTTCACTCAAGGCATTAAAGTCGAGTCCTGGAAGGGCCAGTGCTAAGCATGTGGCAATGATAGGGAGTAGATTCACTGGAAGCATTGAAGATCTAGAAAAAAGAACGGGTTTGGAAGAATTCCCAGTGCGCTAAGCCCGCTTGGACATACTATTCAGGAAAGCTTTCACAAGATACTAGAGAACGACTCAAAGTCGGTTTTGGGGGTTTTTTCAAAAAGGCCTTTCACTCGTCAAATACGCTGAGCGCCTAAAGTAGTAACATCATTCACTGCTGCGACCGAAGCAATTCGTATGTATCTCCTGCCCAGCGATCAAAAACCGAATCAAGTGAGATTCCATCAGAATATCAATGACTCTGAATATACATGCTCGAAATAAGGCTGACAGATTTTAACGACCGAAAAAAACGAACATTTTCTGGGCACTAGGCTTCCGGTGCCTGGGACCGATGGCTGTGTCTCCTGCACAATCGCTAGCAATCTCCCCTAGCAAGAGTGATTGCAAAATGATAAAAAGGGCCCGCTAGCATTATTTTTCTAAAATAACTATGGGTCTTTCAAAACTTGTCGACAAAATGAAAAACCACTCGGTGGCTTCGGTCAATGCGGCCGATCCACCGGTGGACGCTGGAAAGGCTCCCCTGAAGAAGCAGATCTACAGAGCTAGGTACAATTTCGGACCCAACTTCGGTGCCGTTTTTGTGGGAGAAAAGTGGATCTTTCACCTGATCT